TTTTTTCATGTCAATGTAAAATGTGCACGAAAATAGAGGTTGCAGCAGCATATAAATATGCGTCGCTGACGACGGTTTGCATTCATTACTACAGCATCCGACCATATACTAGTATATCTGAATTTCCTGTCATCGTCATTTCATACTTATGTTTTTCTTAAATTTACCACCCAGGGCGTGATTTCGGCTCGTGCCGACCGTTCAGGCAGCAAATCTCGGCACGTGCTGAGTTTCGGTCCCAAGCATCTATCGAGACTGAGATCGAGTTCTTTTCGGCACGTGCCGACTCAGTCCCGACCGTTCACACACAATTTTCGGCACGTGCAGACTCGGTCCCGAGTCTCGGCACGTGCCGAGATCTCAAACGTGAACGCCACTAACGTAGTACCATTGCGTTACACCAATATTATTCAAATCTCTGAGGGCAGTGTTCAAACATGATTTGCCCACTGGGGGGTGGCGGTAAATAAAGGATTTTCTGAACTTCTACAAGAACTGATATTATGCATGGAAAGTGTGGATTAAGTTTCTGTAGTAAAAATTGAAGGATTTGGTTTTGAACTTAATTGTCATTTTTTATTGTTCATTGTCAAAATCTTTCAGAGGGAAACATTTTGTAGAGATTGATACTCATTGACCATCATCAAATGTGTATAGCACATTGTAAAAGAACTCTTCATGTACACAGAAATATAGCATGCAGAAGTAAATTATGGCGTCCACTTATTTTGGATATCTGTAAAGCAACTATCAAATATTATAAAAGGCTAGATTGTTGAATATCCAATTCGCTACTAGCTGCAGTTTTTGACAACTGTAAAAATAATTTCTATGATCTACATGTATGGTTTGCATTTATTAAGAACTTAACTAAAAAATAACTGTCATAGACTCAGATGACACTGGAACTCTGTATCATTTTAGAGGTGTTCTGCAAAACATTTATCTTGATCACTGGAAACTTCATCCCATTTGCCTACACATGGGGATTGAAAATAGTGGTGACAGAATTTGTCATTTTTGACTCCTATGTGCGAAGCACAAAAGGGAGTCTTTGCAGCTACCCTGTCTGCATGCATGTATGTATGTCACTTTTTTTGTTCCACCATTATCTCAAGAACCACTAATCAAATTTCAATGATGGTACATAGATAATTACCTAATTTGCATGATAATTAGCTAATTTTTAGCTGTTCCATGATTGTTCAACTGATATCTAAAGAACCAGTTTTTGGATTTTGATGAAACTTGGTACATAGA